AACAACTTTTAAAGCGCTCCATGGCAATGGACCTAGGTATTTGCAAGACCGCCTCCTACCAAACACCTCCCTTCGACCAGTCCGCTCCCACAGAGAGGGCCTCCTTAGAGTGCCGTCGGCCAGACAATGCTGGCTGGCGACCCCCAGGGGGAGAGCCTTCTCTGTGGCAGCTCCTGCCCTCTGGAATGACCTACCCCCCAACCTACGTACAGTTGCGGACCTGCGCCTTTTTCGCCGAGCCCTGAAGGCCCATCTATTCCGTGCGGCCGGCCTGGCGTAGTTTGGATTGTGTTTCAGTGGGGGGTTTTGTATGGGTGTGTTTTTAGAACAGGCCTATTATTCAATCCGATTTTAAAACAGAAATTATTTATTTATTCGTGGTTTTTAGTATCGCCTGTTCACTGCCCTGAGTCCCGCAAGGGAGATAGGGCGGTATATATAAATTTAATAAATAAATAAATAAATAAAATCTGAGTGGGTTTCTACAAATTAAATTTTGTAATAAAAGTTCTCTCAAATTAGGCTTGGCTCCTAGTGATATTTCTGCAACTTTCTTGGCAGTAATACAGAATTGCCATTAGTTTCCTTTAATGTGTTTTCCCCCCAAGTTCCTAATCTAGCCAATGAACCTGGAATTCACTGGTTATCTCTCATAAAGCACATAACAGGCACATCCTTGCTAAGTTCCCCATTCTGGACAAATTCAGCCAGATGTTGTAGCTAAATAATGAGTTTAGGATTTTCTGATGTACCTACATGTTGTTTTTAAATTCTTTCCTAAATGTTTATTCCCCATTCACCTAAACTGATTCATTTGCTTCTCCTCTCTCCACCGCTGTTTTATTCCTCCATCATGCAGATTTTGAAAGACAATGGACAACAAACCACAACTCCATCTTTTTTATCTAACTCAGCGGCTTTGAATCTTTTCTCCAGCATTAACGATGGCAGTGGTTTTGCAAGTGTGGAGCAAGTTGTCTCCATCTGGGCCTGGGAAGGGGTTGAAAACTGCAAAGAGATTTTTAAGGTATCTGTGTACCTGTTCTTTGGTGATTTTCCTGGGAATTCTTAGCATGATGTTTTTCATAATAAGGGATTTAAAATGTTGATAAGAAAAATGGGTGTAAATATGATTGGGACTGAGTGTATCTGCCATTGACCGGACATGGAAAGAAAGGAAGGCTAAGCCACTCAGTCTGACTGATGAATTTGCGAAGGTCCCTTGACTTTCCTTATGGGGAACAGGCAGGGAAGATCACAAACAATGTTCTCATGATTGCAGGACACTGCAACCATTATACATTCAAGCCAGTTCCCAGATCACAATCATGTAACCCCAGTAGTACTAGGATAGCCAGAACTTTGAGAACTGGTCATAAATATCACTTGTTCAGCAATGTTGTAATTTGGAGCGGTCATTGAACTAATGGTAATTAACTGAGGACTATCTGAATATGAATTAAGATAGAATCTTATGCAAGGTTAAACTAGTATGAAAGTCATTTAATTTTGGTACCTCCAGAAATTCACGGAATACAGGTAGTCCTCAACTTACGACCACAATTGAGCCCAAAGTTTCTGTTGCTAAGTGAGAGTTGTTAAGTGAATTTTGTCCCATTTTTCAACCATTCTTGCTACAGTTGTTAAATGAATAACTGTTAGTAACATGGTGGTTAAGTGAATCTGGCTTCCCCATTGACTTTGCTAGACAGAATGTTGCAAAAGGGGATCACATGACCCCAGGACACTGCAACCATCGTAAAAATGAGTCAGTTGCCAAGCACCTGAGTTTTAATTATGTGACCATCAGGATGCTGCAGTGGTTGAAAGTGTGAAAAATGGTCATAAGCACTTTTTGCAGAGCCGTTGTAACTTCAAATGGTCACTAAATGAACTGTTGTAAGTTGAGGACTACCTCTAATCCCTTTCTTACTTTCTCTGCTCATGTTCATACAAGCTCATTTGTTTAACTCATTTGCCATCAATTTCCTATCATAATCATTATGTTTTTAATAATTTTACCTCAAACATAATAGTTTTATATCAAATCTGCAAATCTACAAAGTGTTTTTTTTCTGACAACAGAGCTTTAACAGTTTGCACTTCTTACTGTCCTTTAGTCTTGTTTAATATCTTTCCTGGTCTTAATTAGTTCATCCATTCTTCCTTGAATCTTTAATCCATTCCCTTAACTAAATAGTCCAATGACTATTACCCTTTAATATTTATTTAATGCCAACATTCTAATGCTATATTAATAATAATTTAAGGGGTTGCTGACTCTTAGGATTTAGTTTCTCTTGATTTTTCAGACTTTGTCTTTTTATAGAGTCTTGATTTTAATGTGGAGGAACGAGTAAACCTTCTAGAGCTCTCTATGATCCTTGATGATGAATTAATTGCTTCCAAGAATGGACTTCAGCAGGCAGCTGTTGCCTCTTATAAGCATGAACTTCATCATCTACAGTAAGTAGTTTTTGCTTTGGCTTTTGAGAATAATGGTGTTAGTATGTGCGTAGAAATTTCAGAATCGTCATTGTAGACTGCCTATTTTTTTAATTGTTGTTTGCATCAAGACCACATCTGTATGTACAAATGCACAGTGCTGTTACGTGAGATAGCTGTTCAGCTAAATAGTTTCACATGTCACCAGTTGCAGATAGAGATTATACTGTATATGTTAGATTTATACTTATACTTATGTCTGCAGAGTTATGATATCTTAACAGAATCAGCGCAAATGGAATTTGGAGAAGTTGTAAATAGCACATTTTCTTTCTTTTTAGAACACAACTGGAACGGATTTTCAGTGAGAGAAATAAAGCAAGAGCTGATCTGGAAAAGACTAAAAAGAGAAATTGGCAGCTTTTTAAGGAAGTAGATGATAATCATAGTGCTCTGGAGCATCACAATGAGAGTAAACTCAGGTGATTATTGTCAAAAGAAAAATAATTACTATACTATATACAGTTATACAAATAAAAATACTAAGATTCTTATTATAGACAGTCATGATAAAAATGATGATTCTATGATTCTCCAAAGAAGAGTTGGTTTGCTGTATTTCTATCAAGGCAGTCTTTCTTCCATACCTATCCCCTTTCTAAGTAGTATTTATGGTACTTAATTATTTTCTCCAAATTCTAATATTCATTATCATTGTTATTTAATTTGAATTATATTTTATTCCTGTTTAAATTATTTCATAAAGTACTTATTTATACAATATGACAAAGTATAAATATATATGCATAAATATTTTATAAGATATCTAATTCTTATAAGAAAAGAAATCACAAAATGACAAAATGGCAAAATAAATCAATTATATCAACAGAATTTGATCTAATCATCCCAAAATCCAAGTTCTTGTTTGAATAATTTTTAAAAGTATTATCATTTTTTTTAAGAAAAAAAAGCCCTGATCTGATTTCTAACCTATGGTGGCAAAGGGAGCGTAGGTTATGACTGATAAATAAAAATATTAAAATAATTTCTTTTATTTTGAAGTGTGATATATATATTTGCAAAATGTGTTTCAGTTTAATACTTAAATCTGAGATCATAAACGGGCTTGCTATTCTCAGCTGTGATTTTCCTGTATTACAGAGCTCTTGAGCGAGATTTCAAAGGGAAACTAATGGCAATAAAATCTGAAGTCAAGATGGAACAGGAATTGCTCATGCAACAAATGCACCATCAGAGAACCAGGTTAGAAGCAGATTTCAGGTACCTTCAAGAGGAGGACTGTATCCTAAGGAAGAAGCTGACTTTGATGATCAAGGTAAGGGGTTGGGCTGTTGTCTTATGCTCAGAACAGCTAAACCATAGTACTAAGATTGAAGATTCTTGACCACAAGTAAAATATCACATTTAAGAAGGTTGAATTCCAAGGCTCAGAAATTAAACAGCTTGAGTCTATGTCCATTTTCTTTCAAGGTGTACAATTAGGCCCACTGTTAATGGTAAGGAAAAAAAACAAGATATAAGAGTAAACTATACTTCTTTCCCTATACAATGCAAATCTTACCAGCTTCAACTTCTGAAGTTTCACCATATGTAGGTTCACAGCCATGAGACAAATGTTGATCTGTTTTTTTGATTGACTGAAAGCTGGGCTTGTTCAGGAATGGAATTCTACATCCATTAAGGCTGCAAAATTGCAGCATATGCACAGTGTAGATGTGATGGGGAAAAAACCAAGTCCCCCTGACTCATTTACTCAGTTTTTCATTGTACAGGCTCTCTAATTACGCAAAAGTACATATAGTTTGCACTTAACCATTCAAAGTTACAACAGACTAAAAAAAAGTTACTTACAATCTATCCTCAAAGTTAAGGCTGCCATACCACCCTCAAGTCACCTAATTGCATTTTGGACACTTGGCAGTTGTCTCACATTTATTACCAATTAGTGTCCATGATCATGTGACTATGATTTCTAGCAGAAAACATAAAAAACATTGAATATGCTGGATTTGCTTAACAACCACGTGGTTCAACAACAAAGCAGTGATTTGTTTTACAATTGTAAAAATGGTCATAAAATCAAGTCAGGTTATATGGTGACCCATTGAACAACCACAACAACTTAATGATTCTGGGCCAAATTGTGATTGTTAAGCAAGGACTACCTGTAGCAGGTCAAATACGGAGATGTTAGCTTGTTTTTCCTTCGTTCCAGTTCAGGTATGGTAGATCATTGTTGCACAGAGGAGCATTCAAACATGCAACACTTTTTCTGCTTTGTA